GAATGGATGAAGAAATTGCAGTATATATATGTACACAATGGAATATTACTCAGCATTAAAAGAAAATAAAATTATGGCATTTGCAGGTAAATGGATGGAGTAGGAGAATATGATGCTAAATGAACTTAAGCCAATCCCCAAAAACCAAAGGCTGAATGTTCTCTCTGATAAGTGGATGCTGATCCATAATGGGAGGGGGATGGGAGAAATGGAGGAACTTTGATTGGGCAAAGGGGAGTGTGGAGTGGGGAGGGGATAGTCAAAATGCACTCTGCTGTCATATATACCTAATTAAACTTGATTAATTAATGAAAAACTTTAAAACACTAACTTGGCATCCAGTTTCCCCAGGCCTCCAGCGTGACTTCAGATGGCTCAAGCCTGAGCTCCTCCATCTGAGACCTTCCCAAGGATTTTCTCTGTAGGGTTTGTCGGAGTGCTCTCAGAAGACAGGAGGGTTGAAACCTGGAAGAGAAAACCCTAATCACAGCTGGGCCCAGCTCCACTTATTTTCCTCCACCTCCTCACCCTACTCTGCAGTTTTCTCCATCAGGATGCTTCATTCTTTGGTCCACATCTTCATGCACCTATACTGAGGACGAGCCAGCCTGGGGCCTCCCATGTGACCATACCACGTGGAAATGACATTCTACCATCTGGTAAGAAGACTCCCAAATCTCCAGAGGCCTAAGCTGAGCCCAGCTCTGTTCTTGGATACACCAGTGACTTGGTATCTGACCATGAACATCTAATCTCGGGATCGAATCTCTGGATCTTCCTGAGTCCCCCAATTTGCAAGTGTCTCAGTGGCTGTCTCAGATCTTGGCACCAATCCTATCTCGAACTTTGAGCAAGAGACTTCCATGTTGCGGCCTCAACCTCATCACCTGTAGAATGAAGAGCTCAGCTAGATGACCTCAAAGCCAATATCCTGTAAATCTGTGAACGGATTCATCACAGATGCTGGGGTGCCCTGGAGGCTAGAGACCATCATTGCTGGATGATGGTGATGGACTAAGCTGTCCCTCAGGGAGCTTGGATGGATGGCTTCATCATCAGCACCAGCACGACATGGCTAAATGGGGGTAAATGGGGAACCAGACCAAGAGTGGGGACAGAAAGATTCCAAGAGGAACCATGGATTGGGCTTCATCATTCCTCTTCTTCCTGAGCTGTTGGGGGCTTGCCCTCTGCTGAGACAGGCCCAAAACAAGAGGGACCAAGGACGAGGGTGTGATCTTATTCCTCAGTCCTCTCCCTTTCCTCCCATGCTTTCTTTTGTCCAGGATCAGTCTGTGACCATGGCTGCCCACTCCTCTTGCCCTTTACCCCAGATGTTCACACTGTTGTCCTTACAACCTGGCCTCATCAACATTTTTATCAACTTCTATCACCAGACATGCCTGAGGGACAAGCAGGAGATGCTGACTTAAAGAGCAGGACTGAGTGCTAAAACTAGAGGAACTGTCCCTAGACAGAAGACAACATGGCTTCCAGCCCACCTGTGCTGAGCAGATCCCTCTGTGACTATATTTAATCCAATGAGGGAAGGAGAAAAATGGCCTCTTTTCCAGAGAGCAGACAAGAAATGGTCCCATCATCCCGTGCTCACTTCTGTTAGAGAACTTCTCATCTGGACTTGTAACTGTTTGTGCATCCCCTTCCCCAACTTGACCTAAGCCCCTCATGTCAGGAACTGTCTTATTCCCAGTATTCCCCACACTTGGCATGGAGTCTCAATAGATGTGCCTTTGGGCCCTTGGATGCTGTGACTGGCAGTCATGACCTCTGGTGAAGAACAGGCCTGGAAGTGGAAGAAGTCAAGGCTGGCTTGATGGCCAACCTGGTGGTTGAAAACTGTGACTGAGAATATCCAAGAGCCACTGCAGTCTGTTCCATCTCTGGTGTGGCTGTGTAAATAATTCCCTGTGCATTTCTTTTTGTTTACCTCTGCTTACTGGTGAATTTACATAATTGTATGATTCTGTGTGTGTGTGTGCGTGTGTGTGTGTGTGTGTGTGTGTGTGAGTGAACGTAAATGGTGTCAGGGAAAGGGCCATGTGCATATATCTGAACAAATATTTTGAAATAAACATGTTGCCATTTGTGTTTCTCTTCATTGGTGTTATTTGTCTCTTCTATAAATCTCTAGAAGTACCATGCTGGCAGATAAAAGCCACTGAGATCAGTGATTCTCCTGTCTCGTTAGGAGACCTGAAATTCCATTAAAAATCTTTGAACACATGCTAAAAACTTTCAAAGAGGGTCAGGGATGAAGGAGAAATGAGATAAAAATGGGCATAACCATACTCTTCCAAAGTGAAATATAGGACCAAGATCACATGGTATGACAGAAGTGAACATTTACTGAGCTCTTTAAACCTAGAGCTGAATGGGACCTGGAAAGCAGTTGGCCTGAGAATGGTCTCTGTGCCTCCAGTATTGTTATTTTTCTTTATAATCAGTTCCCTTGGCTTTTTTTAGGTAAGTTCTTATTTTTCGATGCCTCAACAATTAAGAAAATTTTAAAACCTGTCAAAGGTCACACAGTGCTATTTGGGGACTATTTATTCATCGGGCATTCCAGGTAATCAGCTCAAGGCCACCCAGGGCTACATCCTGTAGACAGAATACTCACAGAAAATTCCCCATAAGTTACACAGGATGTGAGCACAGCCCACACACTTTTCCAGCCCAGGTTGAGTGCCTCCAAAGGTGGCTGCCTGTTTCAAGGAAAACTTTATTTTTGTCAACTTATAGGAATAAGTTCTGTTCATTGGCTTGGCAGCCAGGATAAGGGGGAAATTAGTCATTCCAGAGTTCAGAGCTAATCTTGTTCAGTGCTTGTGGTTGCCTCTGCCTCATGGGGCAGCACAAAGGGAAGTGACCTCTGCTGGGTGACACTGAAATATGACTTTGGGGGGACAGTGTGGTAGATGGCTTTGGGGGAAAAGCTCTAGGTTGTAAAGGACTATACCTCAGGTTATCAGGATAATAGTGTGCACATTATAAATCAGAAAGCTAATGGCATTTGGCAAAACAGTCAAATTCCTCCCTAGTGTAGAAGTTCATCTCTATGGACTACTATAGATAATGATAAGGAAGGGTGCTGGCTGGAGTTTTAAAGATACACTATAACAGGGCTCAGCTAAATTGCCCGACAGTGCCCATTTGCCCAGGTAGGGGGCCCAGAGTGACAGGTGGGACAGGGGAGGTCCCACTGATGGAAGAGGACCTGCCCCTTTACCTCCGTCTCCCAGCAGGGTCCAATAGCTGATGTCCTAGCTATCGCCTCATAGATCAGGGTGCATCTAATTGGCGGACTTTTCAGTCTACCCTGAATAGAACAGTTTCACGGGGCCCTTCCAGCTCAGGATTCTGTAAGGATATT